TATTCTTGATAAAAAGTTTTGCTTATCTTAAGAAGCCATGGGCAGTAATCAAATATGTAATAAAACATACAGGGCGTCCAAAGCGCCTTTAATTTTTGTTTTCGTTAAAAACTATATTTAACACAGTTTTTGGTTTTCAAGAAAAACCGTATTAACTGACACAAGATTTTAACAGCCTTCATTAGAAAATAATTAAAAAGTCAGTAGTAAGCTTTATCTTTCAAATTTGACAATTGGCCAAATAAATTTTACTTCACTTCTCTCCTAATTCTACAAAAAGAAAACAAGTGCCTAGATAGTTTTTAAATAAGCGAATAGTGTATCAAGTAAAAAACACAAATAAATAATAAAAACAATAATTGATATTTTTTCAACAACAATCAGAAACAATTGTTGAAATAAAATAATTTTATTACCAACTGATAAGTTTGAAAGATAAATTAATTGCCTACTACTGACTTTTCGATTACTTTCTAATAAACACTGTTAAAATCTTTCAGTTAATACGGTTTTTCTTGAAAACCATCAAGTTTTTTAAAATTTAACAAGAGTAAAAAATTGTTTAAAATTTAATTCTGCTGTGAATTAGTATAATTATTTTTCAATTCGGTCAATGAAAAAACGTTCGGTACAATTTTAGGGGTGAATCATCCCCAATGAACACCTTGTAGTGCTTCTATTAACTTTCAATCATAGTCAAAGAAGACCAGTAATAAACCTAAATCATGTACCAAATTTGGTGCTTCTGCGGTAAAGTGTTGCAGAAATATGAATTTTTTTCGAAATTTAGGGCCCCACTTTGGTGGCTAATAACTCGTCAGGGGTAAAACTTTGTATATAGTAAGTTTGATTAAATTACAATATCTTGGACACCCCTACATGCACCTGCCCTGTGCGGTTCTTATGTATGTGGGATACCCTGTATAAACGTAAAAACCGGAATATTTGGAATATGATTCAAATCAAGGTTTTGAGATCTCGAAAATTAATTATTAATGTAACATCTAATCTAAAGAATTTTTATAATTTATGGGTGTAGTATTTACTACTAAACTAGAAGTTTAAGAAGAAGTTAATGAGATATTAATTAAAACACTTGAGAGATCACAAGTGGTGGGGTTTTTCCAATGGTTATACATACGTTTTTGAAAATTAATTAGTGAAGTTATGTCACGTTTATCAATGCTGTAAAAATTATTAATAAGTATTTATTACTAATATAAACACTTAATTATCGAAAGCAGTTTTTATTTTAATTACGAGCTGTTGATAATATAATTACATCTCTTTGGGAAGTGGAAAATATTTATCTCATTTAAAATACTCATGTTTCCTAGGTCCATGTCATAAGTCCATTTAGACCAAAAAGCTCTAATGAGTGAATGAATGAATGAATAAAATACATCGATAAATACATGAACAAGACTTTTGTACATATCTGTATTTAATTTCGTATTTTAAATAATTTCTGCTTTTAGATGAAATAAAGAAATGCTACCATACAAACAAATGATACCAACAAGTGATTTGTTTACTATTTCTGTAATATTTCCCTAAGTTATAGGAAAATTATCGCTATTTACATCTAGGTATTTAACAACTTCAATTCAGTGTGTAACTAGTAAAAGGAAACATAGTCATTATCTTGTTACGAGTATTTCTTCATCAAACAAAGCATGTCATATATTTCATGTCACTGATGAACGTTAACAAACTCTCCAAAAGTTCGGATAACTGCTACTTTGTACTAAAAACACCATGCCATCATAATATATAAAATTAGGAAACTTACATTGTCAGTGACAATGGAATATTAATGTCACTTTAAGAATTTAAATTTAATTCAAAACAATGCAGAATATTTTGTACGGTATTGAAAATAGTTGTGTTAGGAATACATTTATGTCAACTACTACAGCAAAAATAGAGGAGCATTGAACTTGTCTACGTGAAATGCTTGGTACGTTGGATTTCCCCCTTCTGCATAAAATGTACTGATTTGAGCATTTTTACGATCGAGCGATTCAAGCGTAAAATCGCTCTAATAAGTTTGTGTGAGAAACATTTTATTTATTTATCCGTATCAGAATTCGTCACTTATATCTCATACTTCAAGTCGCTCACAAATGTACTTGTTTTCATACAACTGTTAAATATTTAAAGAAGGTCTTAATTAAGGTATTATCTTCGTGGTTATTTTTTTATATCCAGCATCCAACTAATTCGGACACACGATCTGCAAAAGAAAGTTAGTATCGAAAATGACTCCAAGATCTTTTACATTTGTATACTTTGGTTATTAAGTAAATAATTAGATATTAGTGGATTACGCATATGCTGTCTACTAAAACTCATGTGGTTGCATTTTCTTATGCTAAAAGGATGGTGATTTGTTTCACACCAGGATATTAAGGATGTTAAATCGTTTTCAAGTTTAATTACGTCGACATTACTGCGAACTGAAGTGAATCATTTCAAATCGTCTGCATCACAACATTATTTAGAAGTAATATCATTGAATAGCAGTGGTCCTAATACAGAGCCTTGAGGCAGTCCAGAAGAAGCAATGTTGTTGGATGTAAAGCCGTGATAATACACGAATTGGTCAAGAATGTAAGATTTTAAAAAGTTTATTGTGGGAGATGTGAAACCAAACGTACTTAATTTGTTTAACAATATATTGTTGGTATAATTCAATGCTGGTTACTTACAAAGTTGCCACAAGTTAAAAATCTTGTCAGAGCAAAACTAGCTAGATTTGGCATTCCTAGATTTTTGTTATGGAAGAACAATGTTTAACTTTGACACTCGAATTAGCTTAATGCCTTTAAGAAAAAGTAAAATTGTTTGCCTTTAATTTACACACAAAAGCATATGTTTTAAAAGTATCAAGTTCAGTTCATGTTCCAATCATATAAAAAAAAACTAATAGTAACTACAGACATTATTCTACATATTTTTATATAATTAATCATCAATCATTAGTCATAAATAAATTATAACAAACTGAAATAAATAATAAGAAATAATTAGGATGATTGCAAATAATTAGTTTTTAATTAAGTCCTGTGGTAAGTCATACATTACAGGCGCTTGCACTTTGTTTTTACATAACATCGAGTAACTAAGCATAATTTTGAAATAAAAAGAGTTGTATAGGGAAACCTAACGCATTTTTATCGATTACTAAAAAATTTAAGGTAACAATATAATTTAATTAGCGAATATCCGCAGTTCCAGGCACAATCGTTTTGTTTGCTTTTTGGTTTTAAGTCTGATTCTCTAATTTGCACGCATCAGGGTGTAATTTAATTTAATTTCATACTTATTAAATGTCGACCTCTCAGAATTATGGAAAACGCGCCGATCGTTTTACAAATGGAAAATGAAATACACGTTAGATGTGTCACGGAAAATAGGAAACGCTTTGATAAATTCACATATTTATTACCAAATAAAATTTGGACAAACGATTTTAGTTACAATCTGCAGATAGGTTCCTACAAATTTTGTGTATTTAAAAATCATTGTTTGCTGTAGCACTATTTTTATTTTATTTTTTATACGTTTTTTTATAAAGTTGAAGAATTTATTTCATGCTGCTTTACATTATAATAACTAGTTTTAAATCAAGAGAACCGTTTTAGGTTTTATTAATTATTCACAACTTATTTGAAGTTAATTTATAAAATGACTTGTAAAAGTTATAAACTTTTACAAGTCATCTTATGAGGTGAAGTCGCACATGCAGGGTGTTAATGATAAGTTTAATTTATCATTTTCCATTCATTGCTAAATGTGTAACAATAAATTCAATACCTAATATTTTTGAGAGATTTCAAAATATTATACAACACTCTATACAACATTACAAGAAATGTTCAAAAAGCTGTCCTTTGGATGCAATACATGCTGCGCAGCGGGTTAGAACTATTCAGATTATGAAACGTCTTCAATGTAACCATCCTTGTCTATCGCACGGATGTCTATGACTTACTTTATCGCTCTCAGGTAACGGTCGATGAACCATGGGGACTTTCCGAACCTGTATAGTTCTACTTAAAAAAACTTGCAAATCACCTATCATTACGGCGAAAAAAACCCAGATTAACTTTTATATTTTTAGATCCATTAACGCTAATCTCCCTTTTTTTTAGTTTTATTAGGAGGTAAATTTAAATATAAATGCAGAAAACGGAAATTGTTAAAAGATAAATGTTAAAAAATTCATCTATATGCTGGGTGTTCCGTTTAAAAGTAACGTTTTTATAATTTTATAATTTTTTAAATATTTTCAGTTTGACCACCAACTACATAAAAACTACTAAAATTTTCGTAAAGTATTCGACAAAGACCTAACTTTTATTTTTTTCAAATATTTATTACACAGGTTTTCCAAAAATTGTGTTGGAAATAATGCGAAATAAATAAAATTACTTTATCAATTTATAATTTTCAATCATAAACAGATTTTTGTTTTTTGTCATATTTTTTTGTTTCAATATAACGAAATATTTCCCAAAAACGCTGCTTTATTTACTCAAAAATTGTATTCCTGTTAAATATTGGTAAAATAGATTCCAGAAGAATATTCACAGTTTGATTTTCTAATGCAGTCTTGTCAAACTTCATATTTTTGCTAAAGTGGCTAAATTAAATGACAGTTACAGAGCAACATTTAGAGTTTGATCTCACAACCAATAGGTATAGAATAAAGGCAAATTGGTCTAAATTATAAAGAAAAAAACAATAAATCTACGTTTTAGATTAAAAAAAGAAGCTTATGGTCATTTTCTACTTCCCCAAAATCTTAAATTTTATTGATGCATTTAAAAAAATAAGAAAAGGAAGAAATAAGTAAAGAAAATAATTTCTTTAACCTCTAACTTTTATGGAAGCCAAATAATACTAAAGTAAGTTAGATCTAATCTTATTTTTTCTCGATACTACTACTTATACTACTTAAGCCTGTTTCAGTTTTTTTTTTGTGGGTAACTCACCCCCTTTGCAGTTAGAATCAGGAACCGAATAAGTCAAATCCTGAAATTCTATATCCACCGGTGGTCTTTTAGCAATTCTGTTCAACTGTCTCAAGGGTTGCTGCCTTGAAGAGGCCAAGAACGGTTCCTCGGCGTTCGCGATGGTCTCCATGGCTTCTTCGTTCTACCTTCCCAAAGCCAAAAATCATGGGACGGGGAGAAAAGTAAAGTAAATCACCCGGCACTAACGAACGTGAAAATCTCAACGGACTACCAAATTCAGATTGGAAAGTGCAGCGATCAGCGATAGCTGGATGACTGGCAGCCTACTTTGTTTTGCTTGAGACAGACCGCCGCGCCGCAGGGGTAACGATACTTTCACTCAAACTGATTATGCGTTTTTGCCACAATATGAGCAGCAGTGGCGTAGTGAACGGCTGCGCATCAGTTGAGGACGGTCAGGGGTAAAGTCAAGGGCATGATTTAGAGGGACGCGATATGTTGCAGCTCATATTGCTCCCAAGAAAAATTAATGTCGACTCAATTGAACAAAGTCAAAATATGTTTACTACACATGAAACAAGGTCAATTGTCAACTGGCAGTTGCTCGTAGATAATGTTGAATATTTCAAACAATGATCATGCAACGTAGTAAATTAATTTTTTCATGCTTCTGAAAAAACAAATAATAATCCATTCAAAATATACCAAAAAATAGTGGTAAGTTTAAAATAATTCAGACAGAGCTAAACATTGGTATAGGTCTTTGTTACACTATTATAAGTGAAATGTCAAAAGTCCCCACCGATCCCATTCGCGCTAAAAAATGTATTTAAGGTCACAAATATCGGTTTTTACATTTTTCTCGTAAACGGTAAGTGTTATCATAAAAATAGGCCAGACAAAAGTCGTAAATCATGCGATTGTCTACAAAAATTACCGCAATTTGTTTTTTCTACGAATGACCGTTTCCGAGATATCACCATTGCAAGCATCGAAAATACTAATATACATCATCGGACGTTTAATATAAGAAACAATATTAGCCTGTTTAACTAATACAGGGTGTGGCGTGTATGATCTATAAAAATTAAACTACAGCCTCCTAACGATATTTGTAATAGAAAAGTCTTAAACGAAAAACTTCTATTTTTGAGTTTCTCTTCGTAAATTAAACTTCAATTATGGATCAGAATTTTTCTCTGGAACGGTCCTGTCCGTGTGCTATACGATAAGTTACGTGCTGTAGACCAATCGCGTTAACAAATCGTCGCTGAAAGACGAATAATTTTTCAACGCAAAAGTACAAACTAAGAAAAATAGATATTTAAAGAAAAAACTAATATTTTCTTATTATAATAATGAATAGTAATTACTATCTTAAATGCATTGTTGTTACTGCAAGAGTTCGCAAACAAAACCACATCCGTATAAACATCTGTAGTTGTCAACTGCGTACGCTAAACAAACTCCACTAAAATATGGATCAAAATGAAATAAACCAGACCATTTCTAGAGAAAATGTTGAAATTCATCCCCATTAGCGCGGATACAGGCATGGCACCGACGGACGCACCCAATTTTGGCAAATATGTTCCCAAATTCCAGGTATTCAACAGCTTCAAGTATACGGTTTCGCAATTCTTCCACCGTAGCAATTGGAGTATTGTACACTAATGACTTCAAGTGACTCCAAAGATAAAAGTCCATTGGAGTTAGATCGGGTGACCGAGGTAGCCACGGCGCAAGACCAAAGCGTCCAATCCATCGCTGAGGAANCAATGCAAAAGTACAAACTAAGAAAAATAGATATTTAAAGAAAAAACTGATATTTTCTTATTATAATACTGAATAGTAATTACTATCTTAAATGCATTGTTGTTACTGCAAGAGTTCGCAAACAAAACCACAGCCGTATTTAACTCCATTAAAATATGGATCAAAATGAAATAAACCAGACCATTTCTAGAGAAAATGTTGAAATTCATCCCCATTAGCGCGGATACAGGCATGGCACCGACGGACGCACCCAATTTTGGCAAATATGTTCCCAAATTCCAGGTATTCAACAGCTTCAAGTATACGGTTTCGCAATTCTTCCACCGTAGCAATTGGAGTATTGTACACTAATGACTTCAAGTGACTCCAAAGATAAAAGTCCATTGGAGTTAGATCGGGTGACCGAGGTAGCCACGGCGCAAGACCAAAGCGTCCAATCCATCGCTGAGGAAACATTTCATTCAAAAGTGCAGTTACTTCTCGAGTACTGTGTGAAGGAGCCCCATCTTGAAGATAAAACATGCGTGCCCGAACTTGTAATGCCACATCGTTCAATAATTCAGGCAACCGATTCTCCGAATGGTCAGCATGTTGGTCCATTTAGTCGTCCTTCAAAGAAATGGGGACCCACAAGTACATCGCCTATTATGCCAGCCCTAACATTTACTGAGAATCGATGTTGAAAATGAGTTTCCCTAATCGCGTGAGGATTTTCATCGGCCCATGACGTTGTGGCCATCATTCCTGGTACAACCTAGTCGCCGCGAGCGCATTTTCTCCGGCTGCACCATACACTAACACCATATCGACACGTTCGGAAATAGTAAATGCATTGTTTTCTCGGTTCATTCTAAAACTAGTTTGTACATAAACTAAAAATTTAAGCAAAGTAAGAAATAAGAATCTCGTTTTTAATGTAATCGGCACGCTATTCTTATTTTTTACTTCTTTATAAAAATTACACCGTCACTATCGTGGAATTACAAAATAAAAACTTTTATCTGGAATCTTTCACTTTTTAACATTGATGTTAAATGGATAATGCTTAATATTTAATAATTAAGTGAGTAATGAATTCAATATAAATACAAAATCAGTTTACTGCACAAATTTTTTGACAATGTAACATAACCTTCTTTCAGTATTACTAGTATGACTATACCGACTTAAATTATAATGTTGCATCTCGGTTCGCATAAAAACATTTCCAAAGTTATTAATAAATAACATAGGGTCGCCCTTCATTTTCGTTGAATAAATGAAATTTAATTTACAAAACAAAACGCAGAGATAGACATTTTTCGTATAAGACTTTTCTATTACAAATATCATCAGGAAGTTGTAGTTTAATTTTTATAGATTATACACGCCACACCCTGTACATACAAACTATACGATTCTGAATGAATATACACTCAAAACACACATGTACTGTTGGTGAAAACAGTCCATTTGATAAGATTGTTTATTTTTTGAGATCTGGGAAGGTTCGTGAACAATCAAAATTATATTCATCGAAGAGTTTATCTCCAAAATGTCAAAATCATATCATATTTTTACATGTAATAACTGGGTAAAGGGACGTCAGTATTTAATTTGGTTGAAAAACGTAATAATTTAATTGATTACGCAGAAATATTTAAAAAGACTGACTCTTCTCCAGAATTCATCATCACAAACGGGATTCGCTTTCTACTTGCTTTATATGGAGCTCCAAAAAAATGATTGTATAGACAAGTATAGATATTTAAGTTTTGTAAAAAATACTCGGAACAATAAAAGAGTACAACTATTTTGTCTTCCTACAACATTTGTTGCTGCTTATCAACACTTGTATCGAGTATGTATCAAGTTCAAGTGTGGTTAGGCAATCAACTGAACCCAGAAGACTGGTGTTGGAAATTAGTAGATAACATTTTGGAGCCAACAATTCATAGATATCCAGCAACAGGAAGAACATGAAGAAGAAAGCGTAGAAGACATTATTTTTGAAGCAGCATTTGAAGATTATCAGTTAGATTAAAATTTTCCCGAAATCAAGAACAATTTGTTCCAGTTTAGTCATAACCAATAGTACGATTTTTTATTGAATAGAATATTATCTTATAGAACTGAATCAGAATAGATCGTGAAGTATGTCTGTCGGGGAAATCACGTTAAAAAAATCGCGCTAAGTACACTTCTCCAACTTTTGAAATGGTGATATCTCAGGAATGGTGATTCGTAGGAAAAAAAGTATTGGCATAATTCTTGTAGACAATTGCATGATCTACAACTTTTGTCCAATCTGTTTTTATGATAACACTTACCGTTTACTAGAAAAATGTAAAAAAAAACTATATTTGCGACCTTTGACCTTGAATGCAATTTTTAGCACGCATGGGATCGGTGGCGACTTTTAAGATTTTAATCATAATAGTGTACCAAAGACCTATACCAATATTTAGCTCTATGCGAATTATTCCTAAATTGAAATGTCTATTTTGACCGGATTAATAAAAAAAAAAATCAATACTAGGTGAATTTCTACGTTTTTGGAGAATTTTTATCGAGCTCTTCGTCTCTATTGCCTGCAGTGCTGGGCTCTTGTCTCTCGTTCGCCGGCAAAGAGGCAAATGGGATGTACGGACGCCTTCCTCAACACGCTAATCTCAACCGCGATGTTTGGAGATGTGGACGTCGCGCTGGCCGATTGTCCTCCATCGCAAGCGAGGTAGATTCCTCGAAATATGGGCAACGATCTAATATTTATTTTGCCTTTTCCCATTCTTGTACACCCTGGAGAAGGCACGGTTTCTGGAGGCTTTCAACTGAGCCTGTGAATGCACTAAATATGTTTTTGTGGACACAAAGTCATGGCCACACAAAAAAAGTCCAAACCCAAGGGAGCCACATATCATTTCCGAAGGAATTCGATGCGTTGATGACGATCCTGCAGTCAAAATTCACGAAATATTTGAAAAAAACCGGAATTTTGGAAATCCGTTTTTGTTTCGTTTCAGCCTTGTTTGAAGTGTCGATTGGCATAATCAATTTTTATATGTAACGTTTCGTCTCTCCAGGGCCATCAACTTCATTTTTATAAATACAACCCTGGAAATTTTATTACATTTTTAGCAAGCTCTCATGACCCCCATGACTGCCTCAGCCCGAACGAGATTCAGATGTTTTGTCTCGAAATATTCATATTCAATGTATTTGTTCCAAATTTATCTATTTTTTAGATTTGAATGTTTCTTGAATTATCGTACACTCAAGAGTCGTTAGACGTTGTGAAATCCACCTTATTATTTAAACTGTTACCATCAGACGTTACAATAAAACATTATTAGAGTTTTAATTCCATGCTCATAGTTATTTCTAGGTTTCTTGGGTGCTCAAAATTCAAACAAAACGCGATCTAATTTTCTTCAGGATATTCATACAAATACATCTGATATGCTCTTTCACTGTTGCGATGACAGGTATAATAAATGCCGATCATATTATTCTTATCTTCATTTTCAACATTTACCAAAACGGAAACGTTTTTGAACATTTACCTTAATTTTTTAAAGTATAATATTCATTTGGAGTTTTGGTTGTTCATATGTATT